AAAATAAATGTTCTCTCTGTTTTTTATATTAACAGAATCCCAATGAAGGTAGTCCTGAAAAACTGGATTGCTTTAAATATTTCCAAATCAGAAAGAATAAATCCCTGAAGCTACATAAATGAAAATGTTTTAAAAAGCTTTGAAAATGCAAAATATGAATATATATCAAAAATACTCTGAAACATGGGGGACAGATGAAAATAAGTCAATGTCACTATAAAAATATGAGGGTAGAGGAGTTAAAAGAAGGAAAAGGAAGGGCTACTAATTCATTATTCACTTGTAATTTAAAAAAATGGTTGGCTCAGATTTGTATATTGGTTTAGAGGGGGGCAGAATGACAAGATGCATATATGTATGTTGATGTAGTCTTAACAATTTTTTACATGTATGTTTTGTATGGAATGTTTTGAATGACAGAATACAGACATCCACCTACCTTCGTGTGTTTTTGAAGTTGGCCGTTTAGGATATGGATTGCTTCCACATACTGTCCGTCTTTCATCTGAAATATATGGAATTAACTGTGATGTTCCTATTAATAAACAGTATTAACATTATAGACAAGAGAAACGTTACTAACAAAAAATGCCAGTGAAGAAGAAAATAATTCTAAGTACATCAAGTACTTTAAGTACATCATGTGTGTCTCATGTGTAACGTTACATTAAACTGCAGCAAAGATTGGAGATTATTTAGAGTACAGTAGCGTAATGTTAACAGACAGAAACACAACAAACTTGTATTGAATTAGATTGGTCGTTTTAATTGTGTGCCGAAGTTAAAATCATTCCAGCATAATTCCGGAAAGGTGGGATATGTCCAGTGTATGTTTTTCAGTAAGATAGCAACACTCAAATGAACAACCTTTGAGTGGAGTTTGGTTTATAGTTTACCGTTATAGTGATGCTAGCTTACCACTGAGTTGGGAAGCTAACCTCGATTTTAACAACAATATTCTCACCAGTTTGTAGATGGTAGCCGTGTACTCTCCGTCCTTTATAGTTGTCATGGCTGCCAAGAAGTCGTTTTAACGATAAGTAACTGCTTCTAACAGTGTGTGTTCACAAAACCCTACAAAATAGCATCGAGCTAGCTTCTGTTTAGTGGACGGATGAAACGCATCGAAGCTGTTACTAAGCAACAGAACAGAGCGGAAGTGGAACATTTGACAGACCTGAAACACAGCCAATCATAGAGCAGGATGAAGTTACGCTGGCCAACCCTCCGTTTTTTGTACCCAAATCTTTATTTAGCAGTTGAGCAGAGAGACACAACCAGCTATACTTGTATGAACATCATATCTCCTCCAATGTTATTTACAATTTCATGCAGGTTAGTTTTTATTATCTTATTAGATCGTTTATGCAGCATTTATTTGTACTATTCATTTATTAATGAAGCAGGGGGCTTTATCCCTTAATCATCAAGCCCAGTAGAATAACATCAACTTGTGCAACATTGATCGACAATATCTTTACAAATGTCATGGAAAACAGTTCTAAGAGTGGGCTAATAATAAATGAAATAAGCGATCATTTACCTGTATTTGTAGCATATGATTGGCAATTAAAGAAAAAGAAGGAAGAGACTAGCAGTAGGGTAAGGACTGCTGAAGCAAAAGACAAGTTTAGGAGTGACCTCTTAAGGAAGAGTGGAGAGGGGTTTATGTAGAAGATGTAAATGCTGCATATGAGTCCTTCCTAACAATCTACATATCACTGTATGATAAACAATGTCCCACTGTACTCTGTAAATATAAAGGTACTTATTATCAAAAGCCTTGGATAACCAAGGGCTTACAAAATGCTTGCAAGAAGAAAAATAACCTTTATAAAGACTTCATAAAATGTAGGACAAAGGCAGTTGAAAAGCAATACAAGGCATATAAAAATAAGTTGACAGTTATAATGAGACAAGCAAAAAGAGAATATTATAATAATATGTTAAAAGAAAAGAAAAATGATATCAAGGGCACATGGAAAATCTTAAATAATGTTATTAGAAATAAATCTGTATCCACTGGCCTGCCCAGTCACTTCATTAATGACAAAAAAACAAAACATGTATGAAGTGGTACATGAATTTAACAATTTTTTTGTAAATGTCGGACCTAATCTAGAAAAGACTATTTCAAAACAAAACGATGGGCAAAAAGAGGGTGGCGGAACTGGGGGAAGTAAAGTGTTGCAGTCAATGTTTCTGGGAGAGATAAACAAAATTGAAATTAGATCCATTGTAGACAAATGCAAAAATAAGACTTTGACTGACAGTGATGGGATCGACATGACAATAGTGAAAACGATTATTGACTGTATAATTAAACCGCTAAGCTACATCTTTAATCTTTCATTTCAGACATGTATTTTTCCAGATAGCATGAAAATAGCTAAAGTTATCCCACTTTTTAAAACAGGGGACAAAGGCCAATTTACTAACTACAGACCAGTGTCCTCGCTTTCACAATTTTCAAAGGTCCTTGAGAAATTGTTTGTCCAAAAATGTGATAATTTTATTGAAAAAAATGAGTTATTGAGAGAGAGTCAGTATGGATTTAGGAAAAATTGATCTACAGCTTTAGCTTTAATGAAAATAACAGAAAAAATTACAACAGCTATAGAAAGAAAGAAATACACAATAGGTGTATTTATTGACTTATAAAAGGCATTTGACACCATAGACCATTACCTATTAATTTCGAAATTACCTAGATATGGTGAGAGGAGTAGTTCTAGATTGGTTAAAAAGTTATTTAGATAACAGACAACAATATGTACAATTTGCTGGTAGTACATCGGAGTGTATGAACATAGAATGTGGTGTCCCACAGGGCTCGGTTTTAGGGCCTAAACTTTTTATTTTGTACATCAATGACTATGTGAAACGTCAACATTATTGTAATATGTGTTGTTTGCAGACGACACTAATTGTTTTAGTTCAGGAGATGATTTAAACATTTTAGCAAAGTGTATTGGACATGAAATGGTCAAACTTAAAAGATGGTTTGATGAAAATAAGTTAACCCTAAATTTGAATAAAACTAAGTTTATGGTTTTTGCTAATAGAAAAAAAGATGAAAACATTTCACTGTCCATTGATGGAGTTTTTATTGAAAGGGTTTCTGAATTTCGATTTTTAGGTGTGACGCTGGATCACACCAACAGTTTTTTAAGTCAGGACTCTTGAAACTCAAAGACATAGCTGAGCTGCAGACATTATTAGTAATGCACAGAGCAAAAAGCTGAATGTTACCAGTATATTTACAACAGTTGTTTGTTTTTGGATCAGACAAGGAAGACCACAGAAGGAAATTTGATTTTAAGCATTCTTATGCAAGGACTACTCTTAAGCAAATGTGTATTTCGGTGGTTGGTGTACAATTGTGGAATTCTCAACAGAAGGATCTAAAGAATAGTATATGTATTTTTCAGTTAAAGAAATTGTATAAATTAAGAAAAATGGGACTATATGAAGCAGAATGTGAATAAGTCTATGTACTCTGGTCCTGCATTGTTAAATATTTTTGATGTCTTTGATGTGATGTCTGTTCTTTATTTGCAGGTCCCATTGTTATTATTATTATTATTATTATTATTATTATTATTATTAATATTATTATTATTATGCGCCGCTTTCCACCTTCTTCTCCAGTAGGACTCAGATGAGGGTGTTGCACATTTCCTTTTCCTTATACATGTGATGTTTTGGTGTTGTTGTTTTTTGTTGTTGTTTTGTTTCTTTCCGTTAACCGTCAAGTGAGAAATAAGTATTTTTTGTGTTTCTCTTAGTATTTTTCATTTCATTTCAAACCTTTATTTAACCAGATTGGTCCCATTGAGATCATAGATCTATTTTTCAAGGGAGACCTGCAGCAAATAGGTTCCACATGAAACATAAAACAATAAAGGACATCATACATTATATTTACAGGATACATTTACATAGTTATCGACATTTACAAGTACCCATAGTATCAAAGAGCATTTCATTTAGCCTAACAGTATCCTAAGATACTGTTATGTTTGGCTGTGAAAAATAAATAAAATTGAAGGGCAGACCATCTATTTCTATTTATTTAGTTTCAGGTCATATAAGATCTTTTTCTTCTCCCTGCTCCTTTCGCTCCGCTGATGGTAGGCAAAACCCAATGTACAATAATTGCCAACAAAACATGTCTCTACAAACTTTGTAGAGACATGTTTTGTTGGCAATTATTGTACATTGGGTTTTGCCTACCATCAGCAGAACAAATAACAAATACAAATATTACTATTTGTTATACTGCAGACAGGATTTACAAAATAAATATTTGGAGAAACAGTATGAACCTTTGAAACATAACCTTAAACAGTGGATATAATCCTCAAAAACACAATAATTGCAATAAAAAAAACGAGTTTATTCATGAGCACTAGATGAAAAAACACTTTAAATACATTAATTTCCATTAGGAGATACAGATATTCATTTGCTACAACCTGCCTATTAACATCTGTAGTAGGCCTATAGCTGTAATGGAGAGTGTGTGTGATTATTTTGTAATCAGCACCAAATTATTTAAGGCACACCTGATGGCAATCAAGCAAATTAGATCGATGCTTATGCTTATGCCAATCGTGCCAACCACATAGCTTGCAAGAAAAAAATAAAAAAGGCAAGAATATGAATATATTTTCTTTCTTCCTTTCTTTCTTTCTTTCTTTCTTTCTTTCTTTCTTTCTTTCTTTCTCAGCACAAGCACATTCTAGTAAAAACCACCAATGATCTCATTTGCAGAGTCCAGGACGATGGGCTGACAGAGGTACAAACAGGATAAACTGACCGAGGTGCTGGAGCTTCGCCTCAAACCTCAACCACACTATGCTGACCACCGGGACGCCATAATGACGGGGAAGTGGTAGATGCTGTATGTGTGTATGTGTGTGTGGGTTTGAAAGTGAGAGAGTGTTCTTTTTGTGAATATGCATGTGCATGCATGCTTCTGGGTGTGTGTTCTCTCTCTCCTTCTGCCCTTCCTGCATGACTCTCACTGACTCTGTTTGGACTGGCACTTTGCAGAAGGAGCTGCGAATCGACAGGTACACTCTACTGATCAACAGGTATGTGCAGAGAACAGGATTTTATTATCATATTGATTAAAGTAGTTTAAGCCAAATTATACAGAAAATGCAAGTGAAAAGTTTATAACAAAGGAAAGTAAAAGTAAATTGTACTACTTGATGATTTCGGTCTGAAGTTTCAGTTTTATTTTGTTAACACAAAGGTCAAGAGGGAATTTTGATATCTCTTTGCACCACTCCGTGTATTTAGTAATTAAATGCTGTATAAATCAGGCTCTGGGTGGTGTGTGAAGAAAGCACCCTCTGTAAAAACATTCAGAATATAGAGAGGAATGAAACTGGAAACTTTGGTGTATGTAAGTGCTTCTGAACCGGATGCTTTTTTCGTTTGTGCAAATAATGGCCTTTAGATATTGAAAAGTCATACATTTTATACCCACTTCTTTTGGATGGGATAAAACTCTTAACTATAGATATCACCATAAAACGTTGATAACTTACATTAAAAGGACTATCTTGTTATTACAAGTTTTTGAAATGTTATTTTTTGAATATAAATAATCAAGCACTGTATAATGTTGACTCTTGGTTAATTTAGGAGACATGTACAGAGACATATAGACAAAGTTAGCAACATAAACAATTAAATGTGGATTTTAGATTTGTCCTTTCCTCTAGTCTGAAAAAAGACATTCTATGGAAGCAAAATATTGTCCACTATAGCACTCAATAAATATTTTTTTATGAGCAATTTTGCTGCTTTGAATTAACATATGTAGGTTTTCATGCTGCATCAATCTGCACTTTTAGTGTAACATGCTTGAGATGAAACGGAATATGACTCCTTTTTTAATGTTGAGCATGAATTTGAATGAGGCATCTGCCGTTTAAATACTGAATACATTTGGGAAATTCTGTAATTATTCCGCGTGCCTTCTCTCACCGCAGGGCCAAACTTATTTCATGGTTGCCAGATTGAGTGCGGTTTGAGTTGATGAGATTTTGGTTGCGCAGGAAAGAAAAGCTGTGGGTTTAAGAGACCGGCAGCAGAGAGAGCTTTACAAATATAGCTAAAATATTTGTGGTTGTTATTGTGTGCATACCTGCAGGGTCAGTCAGGGTTTATGTGTGTTTAATTAAGTTTTAGCGAGATGGTTCATTCTGCAGTGATGACTGCAAAGAAATCGACATATCCCCAGTCGTGGGGCATACAGTATGATGCGTTAAAGGAAAATACTGGTAATCATCAAAAAATAATAAAAATAACACTTTTTTAGTCGGTCTCTCAATATGTTTTTTATTTCTCTCTGTGGCTCTCAGATTAAAGCCCATTGGTTCATAATAAAGCTGAATCTATAAAACAGGAGAAAATATTGCATTTGTTGGGAACTATTTTCAGCAGCAGGATGATCAAAGTTATCATGCAGATGGACAGTAGAAGTTAGAAGAAGTATGTTTTAAACTTGTTCTAGCTGACTTATACCAATCCAACTTATTTTACCCAGTCTTAAAGCCCACAGAGAATGAATGTTTAACACTTTAGAATAAACAAAAAGAAATGATGAAATCTGTAATTTAAATGTCTTGTACCGTCAGTTTTCTGGCGTGACCTCAGCTGCAGGTCAGTCTCTCAATTACATGTATTTAAACACAGCTGTATAGTCTACAAGAGCCTCTGTGTATTATTGGAGTGATGAATGTGTGGACGTGGCATAAACATAAGCTTGATGGGGCAGTTGCTACTCTGCATGTCTCTGCAGCTCTCAGTTTTTCCAAGCCTCCCTTTGTGTTTGAATGCTGTTGGCCTCGCTCCCTACCTGAGAGTTCAGCCTCGGGGTATTTTGCTCCTGTTCCTCCCTCTGAAACGCAAGGAAGACTCTAAGAAGTTTGTTCTCATGCTCACTACAGAGCAATAGTTACAGATGGAAATAAAACCTGGCACACTGAAGTCAGAGAACATCAGGCATGGAAAGCAAAGGAAAAGAGAATTTAGAAAAGTGCACCCTTGTATTAATAAAGTGGAAATAATAAAACATATACCAGCCCTTCCTCTAAGGCATTTGAGGATGCAATGCATGATTTAGTGAATCGCTACAGTGCCTAATGTGGGCTCAGTATTGCTATTAAAAACAAACAAACAATCAATCGTTTTAGTTTAGCAAGATCTAAGTCGTTTGCCTAACAAAAACTAATTTGACATAAAGTTAATAGGATTTGAACCAGTATATTCAAATACTATTCCTTGGAATAAAGGGTCACAGATTTAAACACATTTTTGTTTTAATGTTTTGTATTTAAAACAGGTTATTCATTAATCATAGGCACTGTGTCTTAATGCTTTTAAGTTTTTTGTTAAAGCTCTTCTTATTGCCATTTTGTTGAAATGTGCTCTATAAATAATCTTGCGTCACTCTGCAGGTGCTGGTAGAATCATGGCCCCAAATCTCAACATGGTGCTGATGATGCTATTGGCCGTCACCACGGTAACGGTTCTGGCCCAGAAGCGGCGCCCGGCATCAAAGCCGAAAGTCACCACGGACGAGTGGAACTTCAGGGATGGCTGTGAGCACACCGATTTCTCTCTGTTCACCCTGGGTCAAAGGTCAAGTTCAGGGCTCAATTTAATGTCATGGTTTCACAGCTAGAGATGAAGGCAAAGCTGTCTGTCTGTGTGGAGCTCTATTATGGGGCCAAACCATAGACTGTATAATATAAAGGGCCAAACCTGATTGGTTAACGTGGGTAGACAGAAAACAACTGATAACCTTAATTTGTCCTCTGTTATCAATTTGTTGTGTCAAAATTATTCGTTCAAACTAAAGATATAACAAAATATTTCCATGTTTCTTTACGTCATTTTGGCTCAATTTAAGAACTTGGAGCATTTAAGAACTTGGAGCATTAGCATTAAGCTGCTAATGCTAATATACTTTTATATCTTAGAAGCGAACGGCAGCTTAAAGGATTCAAAGGACTCCCAGGACAGTGGATCTTTTTCCTTTGAGTATTTTTCAGTTAGATTTAGCAGAACGAATGAATTCAGTGGGATCTGACTCAGAATTACGAGCCTTTTTTCGGATCACCAGAGTGTGTTTTCTTGTCTCAGCTGATAAGGTGAACATGCGCGGCGTTGCTAACCTGACTCAGATCCTTGACGACTGGAGGTTCGACATCCTGAGCCAGATGAGAGGACTCCTGCAGAACGACCACCAGTCTGTGCTGCCCGACTACGCCAGGTACGAGAATGTGTTATATTTATCTTTACAAGTATTTCTGTCACGGTTTTGGATCGTTTTCATTTTCCACCTTTTATTTTGAAATGTTTTCCTCCTTGTGTCTTCTCTGTTCCTTCTTCCTGTGTTTGCCTTACTGTCGTTAGTTTCCCTGGTGTGTCTGATTGTCTGATTGTGTTCACCTGTTGCCCTTGTGTTTCTGCCTCCCTTACTCCAGCTGTGTCTTGTCTTGTGATTACCCCTCTCTGTATTTAGTCTTGTCTTCCCCTGTGTGACTTGTCGGTTCATTGTTTTTCCTGTCTCCCTCCATGTTAGTCACAACCTTTTTCCTTTTTGAAGTCTGCATTTGGGTCCTACCTTTGCCCAACCCTAACAATTTCTCTTTGGATTATGTAGTTTTGGTAGAACTATTTGTATTTTCTACAAAGTTTCTGCGTATACAGTACGTTTATATAACTTACATGAATGGATTTTCCTTTGACGGATGGGTAGGATTTCTTAGTTTTGGTAAGCAAACACAACTTTTAACCTTCTACCAACTTCTCTCAACAACAGCAGAAGCCAAGCCTTCCCATTAGGTTTCGGGTACCCCATTGGGTAAAAGCCAACCCTAGAATCATTCTAGTTTTGGAATATGCTCTTTCCGATTTACATATCCACTTGAGATATTTGCAATCCTTTACTTGTTGGGGAAAAATACAGTTGTTTGGAAGAGACGTTTTCACAGCAATATGTAAAAGATAAGAATGTAGTTTGATCTTTGTCATAATCGAGACACACTAATGTCAGCTTCGATTTTTATCTTTCCCACGGCTATTACAAATATCAGTTTTAAGGAAAGTTTCGCTGAGTCATCAAAGTAACCTATTAAAATCTGTGTTTAATTAACAGAATTCATCAAATTAAGAGGATCATATCCAAATGTATTATTGCCAAAGACAGCAAAGAAGTTCAAATATGCAGAAAATGAAAAGGACAAAAAACTGAAATGAGTGTAAATGAAAACGTGAGAGAAGCAAAGCTGCTTACAAAGGCCAAATGAAAAGAAAGGAAGTCCGAGAATATTCCATAAAACGTGCTGCTCCATCACTGTTTATGTAACTATTGCACCATAATGAAGTCTGCTCCTCTAAACGGTGGCGAGCTGCAGGAAACACCAGACTTCCTCGGTGGAAAACTTTCTTATGGCGCCATCGACCACAGAGTGTACTGGACAGAATGTATTCTCAGCCTGAAGGATAAACCACGTTCCTGTGGGGACTCGCAACTGTTTTATTTCACTCGTGGAATATTCCGCTCATTCAAAACACACAGGAGGATGGAGACGTGTGCTCAGTCAATTTTAAAACCAGTTGTTGAACTAAACTTTAACCAGTGATGAAAGACGTAGTGCGATCCATTCCTGCAGAATTGTTTTCTTCTAAATACTCCATTACAAGTTACCTTAAGTAAAAGTGGATTTTTCTTGGATAGGATACTTTTTAAAATGTGGATTTGTTGTTTTTATTGTGTTTGAATAACGAGAGATCAATAAGTACACAGTCTGTTCGGGATGTGCGTGTGCCTGGTTTTAAAAATAAGTCTGTAAACGTGTTTATGGCAGCAATGCTACATCATGAGTGCAAAGCTCCCTTAAAATTGTACGGCTTAAGAAAGATTCCAGCCAGTTGGTTCTGTTTTTTTCAGTTTTCTACAGAATCACTGATCCAAAAAACTTCTCTCGGGTCCTCAGTAACACACACGCCAAACGTAAAATAAATCAATCCAATGGATTCCAAGAATAATTTAATCTCAAACACACATAACTACACTACAATGTAGCTACTGTGCTTATGACAATAAAGCCTTTGAATCTTGAACATACTGTACAAACACACACTGAAAAAAGTATCCTCAAAGTACACCCTGTAGCGAGTACAACTCTAACACAGAAAAGACGTGTATATGCTGCCCCAGAACGCCTCGTTAGAGATTTTATTTTCCATTTTTTTCTTCCGGAAACCAAGTGATGTAACGACGATCCAAATGGACCAATCCGCGGAGCTCCTCACACACACACACTCAGCCAGCCTTATTTTTCTCAGCTGCAGCTCTCTGAATTTCTCAGCCTGAGACAGCGGGACACGGCGAGGCCCGGCCCGGGCCCGGTCCGGGTACACACACAGACCCACAGCCAGGCTGCGGGTGTGTGGGTGTGTGTGTGTGTGTGTGTGTGTGTGTGTGTGTGTGTGTGCTCCAGCCGAGCTCGGGCCGGGCCTCGCCGTGTCCCGCAGTCCCGCAGACCCCACGCAGCAACCAAGAAACAACACCAGCATGCTCACACTGTCCGCTCCAGCAGCGAGCCCCGCAACGTCCCGCCAACACGGCACCCACGCAGCATTCTCATCTGTTTGTCATTGCTGGTGTCATTTTCTGGTTGCTCACGCCATTGTAACACATAATCACTGATGTTCCGCTGTAACGGTGGTGGACTCATCAGAACAGAGTGGGCGAGCTGGTCACACTGGGCTCACAGGGAGGGGGGGGCAGGAGCTCCAACAAGCCATTTAGGACAGAGAGTGAATACACATGCTACACAGAGATGCTGTATGAGAAACCAAAGTTTGTAAAATTGCACAATATAAATCTATTCTAGTAGACCTCAACAATGGAATTATGATCAGTAGAAATGGCCATGACATGGGACCTTTAAGTATGATACTTCGTTTGCCATTATTAATCGCTTCTGATTTTATTTATTATTTGCATCCATTTCTAATGTTTTTTTATATCTTTGTAAAATACTTTGTAACCAGTTTTTGAAAAGTGCTTTATAAATTATTTTATTATATTTTGAATCTTTGTTCCTGTCTAGGATCCAGCCGCTGTCTGAGGCTTTAAACGACCTCTACACGGAGTTCAATGCCCTCAAAGCTCACCTGGGCGACCTGACCGAGAAGTTCGGCGCCATTGAAACCTTCATTGACGAGGTCAAGGCAAGCCGCACCACCAACACCAACACCAACGCTGACGCAGGCTCCGCCCCCAGCGGGGGCATCGTCCCCGTCGTCAGGCAGGGCGGGAGGAGGGTGATAAAGAAAAAGCCAACGACTTCCTAAACAGCCAAAATTATGTTTGTTTCTTCTTCTCAGGCTTTCTTATCTCTGTGTCCTGATCCTCCTTTAATTTCATTGTTATCACATGTTATACAAATATTGTACCAAGGCACTCCCAGTTTAAAACATCTGGATATATTAAGTTGAGCTTGGCATGTTGCTGACATCAACTTAATATTCGTTTTTTGATATATTGTGATATTTTCTCGAAATACATATTGTTTTTCTGTTATGCATTTTTAATTACCTGTAGGCCTACACAACGTGGTACAATTCACAATTGGTTTAAAAACATATATTTGGTCCTTCCATTAAATAGGAAAAAAATCTTAGTAATTGTGTGCATGACATTGACATTTAGGATGCATTTTGGATTACATTACATTGGATGCATTGCATTGTGGGATTATGAGAAGAAAACTGTCCATGCCATGATCACATTGTAGATTCTTTAACCTGTTAAGCCCCATAGCCCCCGCCGGCGGGGGTTACGGGGCTTAACAGGCTTTTTTTTTCTCACGAAACTGTGTCTCAGGGCTTCTTAAAATGTAATAAACTATGAATGTATCATACTCACTTAACGGGAAGAAACTAAGCTAACTGACTATATGAACCATTTTTACCGAAACAAAACACAAGTCTCACAAGAAGCGTCTAAATGAGCCCTGAGCGAAAAAATGCTAACACACTTGGCACAGAACTCTAGGTATAAATCGATCTATATACTTATCGGATGTGCACAAACAAGCTTTGCTAGCAAGCTGAGATTCCACAGGTTCTAGAAATATAAGTATCATCACTGAGCGATCAGAACTCGCGACAGGGGAAGCAAAACCAGACAACACACGACGCAGCATTAGGTAGCAAAACACGGAGATATGCTCACCTTTTTCTGTTATTCTGATCAAAAGTTGTGTTTATTGGCATTAAAACGAGAAAAACGCGGCTGAAGGTTAATCCATAGGTTAATCCAATGTGTCTGTCACTTTGAAAAAATTATTGATAATCCATAATTCCATTTTTATGTCAAAAACTGAGTTTTCATATTAGCTGCTAATGATAGCTTCCAGAGTGTATGACAGCTTCCTGTTTTGGTTACGCGTCACTCTCACTCCTTATTTGGTAACGTGTGTGTGTATGTGGAACTTCCCCTCGATTCCATTGGCTCTAACGGTTAAAAAGAGATGTCAATCATCAAAATCGACCAAGGGGGGCCAGAGATAGGTCAAATCCACCCATATGACCCCAGAAGTGTTTTTTTTGTTGCTAAATCTCTCTAAAAAGATCAAACTTCCCTTGTTTTGCATCAATCTTGATACAGGGTACTTATTATATGTTATAGTTTGGATTCCTAAAGCTTTTAGTCCACTATCCCATCATTCAAGGGTGGTTTTCACTATAAGTAATGTTTTTTTTTTACTATGTTCAATCTGAATTTACTTTAAAATAAAAAAAATTAACAGGCTTTTTTTTTCTCACGAAACTGTGTCTCAGGGCTTCTTAAAATGTAATAAACTATGAATGTATCATACTCACTTAACGGGAAGAAACTAAGCTAACTGACTATATGAACCATTTTTACCGAAACAAAACACAAGTCTCACAAGAAGCGTCTAAATGAGCCCTGAGCGAAAAAATGCTAACACACTTAGCACAGAACTCTAGGTATAAATCGATCTATATACTTATCGGATGTGCACAAACAAGCTTTGCTAGCAAGCTGAGATTCCACAGGTTCTAGAAATATAAGTATCATCACTGAGCGATCAGAACTCGTGACAGGGGAAGCAAAACCAGACAACACACGACGCAGCATTAGGTAGCAAAACACGGAGATATGCTCACCTTTTTCTGTTATTCTGATCAAAAGTTGTGTTTATTGGCATTAAAACGAGAAAAACGCGGCTGAAGGTTAATCCATAGGTTAATCCAATGTGTCTGTCACTTTGAAAAAATTATTGATAATCCATAATTCCATTTTTATGTCAAAAACTGAGTTTTCATATTAGCTGCTAATGATAGCTTCCAGAGTGTATGACAGCTTCCTGTTTTGGTTACGCGTCACTCTCACTCCTTTTTTGGTAACGTGTGTGTGTATGTGGAACTTCCCCTCGATTCCATTGGCTCTAATGGTTAAAAAGAGATGTCAATCATCAAAATCGACCAAGGGGGGCCAGAGATAGGTCAAATCCACCCATATGACCCCAGAAGTGTTTTTTTTGTTGCTAAATCTCTCTAAAAAGGTCAAACTTCCCTTGTTTTGCATCAATCTTGATACAGGGTACTTATTATATGTTATAGTTTGGATTCCTAAAGCTTTTAGTCCACTATCCCATCATTCAAGGGTGGTTTTCACTATAAGTAATGTTTTTTTTTTTACTATGTTCAATCTGAATTTACTTTAAAATAAAAAAAATCTATATTGATTCTGACTCTTCTACATCCAACTCACAGGTTTATTATTGCTTTGAGAAAAAAGATTATTCATTTATCCCTTTTAGAAGTGAAGTTATGGTCATTTGTTCTGGGAATGTCATTTTCGTGCCTGAGACCTGGAAAACAGGCTCGAGGCTTAACAGGTTAAGGGCACTATATAATTAATCATTTTCAAACCCTGCCATTCAAATAAAGTAGCACTATGTAGTAACAACATGGGAGAGATTTGAAACACAGATACTGTTTTCAGTTTCCGCATGAAATAATTGCTCTTTTCTAGAACTCAACAAACATTTTGAGGGATTTGATTTGACAGATTTCCTATTTGTTTTTGTCAAAGTGCCTGGTTTGTTGTGTTTATTCTGGATCTTTTTCAGACAAACAAGCTTGTTGGTTTGGGTTTACTGTTGCATTATATGAGCTCTGTAAAAAACTCACTTATTGCATTCATTCATTATTTAGTGGGAATGCTGATACAGCATTCCAACTATCTGTTATGCTACGCACGAAATTCTTTATTAATCCGCTGGGTTATTTTGCACCTCTTCTTCTCCCACATTCCACATAGCAGAAACTCCGTTCAAACATCAAAACGTTCAGCTCGGTCGGGAATTGATGGCTATTACTTTTCTTATTCATAACTTTCATAATTCCAGAGATACATCCCATAATTCATCACATTTTTAACATGGAAGTCAATGGAGAAACTCTTCAGACTTGAACAATCTTCATGCAACTTCAACTGCTAACTGCTCCTTCATACTTTCACTCAGAAACCTCATTCCAACTTTAAAATGTTACACATCTTTCTGACATTATTCGTGTAACACAACTTTTAAATCTGATTTGTACTTTTAGAGATATTAAACATTGTTCAGACCTTGGTAAAGAGGCCTTCTTCAGATTTTAGAGTGCGTGATGTCACAGCTAGAGTGGAGGACAGATTTAATTTTGCATTCATATTTTCTTTTAAACCTGCCATAATTCCCAAACCCTACATTCCTGAGACATAACTTTTCATGAGAAACGTAGGAAAACATCTCGTAGCTTGAAAAATAAAAAATAATTAAGCAAAATAATTAAACAAAATGCCTCTTGAGGGCATGAAGTGACAAAAACTTTCAACATGTCTCCATTAAACCCCATTGTAAGTTCAGCCTCATCTTTCCCCACCACAGCAGCCACACACCTTTAGTTAATCTGCCAAAAAGGCCACATTATTATCCCGAAAGTACACAAAAAGTACACTTCAGATGCTCAAGTTCCTTGACATGCTTCACGCTTTGAAATCTCACCGATATCTGTTACGGTTCTTCAACAAAACGTTCACATGTAAGAGGTTTATCTCTCATTCAGAACAATGAAAATGCTCTCCTCTCACTGATTACTGCACCATCACCATGGAAACCTTTGATCTCTGGACACGTCGTTAGCTCAAATATAAACACCTGTGTCATGGAACACGATGATGTCATAACTCCAACTGACATGCTCAGAGCAGCAGACTTCAGATAATGGTTAACACAGCTCTACATCAAATCTGATGTTACGTAATGTGGTGTTACTATGGCAATGCATCCCTCGCCATAAAACAGCAGCAGACTTCAGATAATGGTTAATGGTCCTGCCCTCAACAGCTCTACGTCAATTATGGGGTGTCATCATATGCCATTTCCATGGAAACGCATCCCTCACCATGAAACACGATGTCACTGTAACTCCAATGGACACGGTCCGATCGTCCCCAAACTTCGCTTGTATATCACCGGTCCATGCCTCAACAGCTCTACGCCAAATCTGAGATCTCACCATAGGCTGTTTCCATGGAAACGCATCCCTCCCCAAAAAACACGATGTTGTCGTAACTGATATGAAAATGATCAAAACACCACCAGACTTCAGTTGACAGTTAATGGTCCAGCCCTCAACATGTCTATGTGGCATTAGTGAGTCTTCATCAAAAGCTGTTGCCATGGCAACGCATCCCTTTCAATAAAACACGATATTGCTATAACTCCTATGAAAATTGTCAAAAAGTGCTAAAACTTCACATGTGTGCTAACAGTCCAGCCGTGAAGACATCTACGGGACAGTTTTGAGATTTCTTCAAATGCCGTTGCCATGGCAACACAATGCTCGCCATGAAACACGGTTATCTCATAACTTCAGTGAAAATGCTCCAAACGGCCCAAAACTTCACAGGTTTGGTAACGATGCAGCCATCAACATATCTAAGCGTATTATGGGGTGTCATCAAATACCGTTGCCATGGCGACAGATCATTCGCCATCAAGTTAGTTAAATAGTTTGCAGTTCAAATATTCTGCTGCTTTTCCAAGCCATTTTACTTTATGTTCTTCTCTTATCACACATTCAAGCCCCCAGTGTTCATGTATCATTTCAATCTAAATTCTTCACTTTCTTCTTACACATTACATTTCAGCATATCAATTCAGCGTCAGCTTTTCAGCATAAAGCATTCCCACTAGCAATTTCTTCAGGAATTGCATTCTCTAGTTTCAGTTGGTGTTTCTTCACAGATAATCTGAGTGGAGTATGGAAGCCCTGAGGTGCCAGTGAGAAAAACAACATCCCTGCTGGTTAAACATTTTAAAATAAATATTTTTTCTCTCCTGTGTTTATAACCAGGTGAAAAATGAGGAAACAAATAGTTGGCAAGTGTGTTTGCTGTTGTAATTCTTATTTCAGCCAAAAAAGGTGGAAGTGCAGCACTAATCTAAAGGCAGATCAATGCCAAATAAAATACATTTCTAGCCAAAAGAAAGACATTACAGTAAAGCTACATAACTTGGCCACACGCAATAAATGCATTTATATACACAGGACTTTCACACCGGAGACCAGGGTTCTCGTTTGTGTCAATGTTACAATTTATTCAGTTTCAAAGCTTATTTAATGTCCAATGAATCAATGATAAAACTAGTTTTTGCAGGGCATTCCTGACCCAAATCTATGAGGCTGATGACCACTGATAATGCAGATATTGTCTGATAAC